ATAAACTAAATTCTATTAAATTAATTTTTAAAATAGAATCAGATATTTTACAAATTCTTTGGAATAGGGAAAAATTGGCTATAATCTTAACCTCACATTGAACTTCTTAATCTTTGTATAATCTTTGAATACATGAATTTGTATTTTCTTTTTTTTTTTAAGGAATAATTAATTTTTTTGAGACAGAGTCTTATGTTGCCTTAGATAGAGTACCATAGCACAGCACTCAACTGAGGTTGAGTACCGCAGCAACCTCAAACTCTTGGGCTCAAGTGATTCTCTTGCCTCAGCCTTTTAAGCAGCTGGGACTACAGGCGCCCGCCACAATGCCCAGCTCTTTTTTTTGTTGCCATTGTCATTGTTGTTTAGCAGGTCTGGGCCAGGTTCAAACCCACCTGCCTCAGTGTATGTGGCCGGCACCCTAACCACTGAGCTACAGGCACCAAGCCATGAATTTGTATTTTCATCATCATAGTTCACATCTACATATTTTTATTTTTTATTTTATAATTTTCCCTGGAGATTTTCTGTGTTTATTTTCATACTTATTTTTTATTTATATGCTATAACTTACAAGATTATTTTCCTAGCCCTGTAAAACAATTGTCAGGGTAGTTGACTATAATGATTACAGATATTAGTAACAATGAGCATCATAATGTACATACATTTTTTCACTGATTTCTTGTAGGTAAATTCCTAGATATATGCTGAGAGTAGGGTGGCGCCTTGTAGCTCATAGAGTAGGGCATCGGCCAAAAACTGCAAAAAAAAGATTGCTAAGGGTAAGACTACAAATATCTGTAAAGCTTTTAAATAAGACACACTTTCCTAAAGCAGTGCTATGAGATATTTTATGCTAACTTTATCAGCATGAGCACTATTTTTGCTTATTTTAGAAGCCATAAGTACTTACAAACTTAAGAAAATTAGGGCAAGAATGCAATCAGTTTCTGAGCACTTGCTGTGTTGTTAGTGCTGTATGTATATGTGTTATGTCTTATGCTAGCAGCACCCACACAAGCGTGTGGGGTTTTTTTGTTTTTGAGACAGAGCCTCAACCTATCACCCTGGGTAGAGTGCCATGGCTTCACTGCTCACAGCAACCTCTAACTCCTGGGCTCAAGCGAGTCTCCTGCCTCCGCCTCCCAAGTAGCTGGGAC